AACCGCGGATAAAGACATTAATTGTGTGGTGCATTTCGCCTGTGTACAAGGTTTGTAGCTTTGCAACTGTAGAAACCTATTTCTCGAAAGTGCACAGGAAACTACAGGCTTAGTACCTGCTGGTTATGCTCACTCCACTCGCCATTCGATACATCACCTGGGATGAAAAATCAGATTTGACTTAAAAAAAGACCTTGTCGCTCTAAACAACACCCACCAAACACTATTTTGAGAGGGTAGAGACGAGCAACTTGTTCGTGAAGCGTATCTAGTGACGCGCGGAGACAGCAAAACTGTGCAACACAGCACATTATCGTTGGGGATTCCCCAACCGGAAAGTCGCTGTGGAGGGAGGGGTCGTTTTCAGTCTCAGGAAAGATTTTTTTGATAGTTGATTTTTCTTGTTTCAGGGGCACTATAAAGGGAGGGAGGGGAGGGGATCGTATTTGCCTTCTGATTCCTTGAGAGTCAGGTTGCTGACTTTTCGTGGTTTTTTCCTGTTTCATATGTACTCTATACCAACCTCCACCCCCCCCCTCCGCTCGAAAGCAAAATTCCTGAGAAACTCTAGTCGCACCAACCCCTGAAAAAAGGAGGTCGTACGGACTTGACCTAAATCCCAAACTGCTGATGTGCCCTTCTAAGCAATCACAAGCCTCTAGGTTCCCTGCCATGCCCTTTTGAGTGAAGAAAATGACACACCTTTACGGCTCTTTTGAAGGTTCATTTCTAGAGAACTTCCTGGTCCACCTCAAATACAACCAACTTTCGAGAAATTGTACAGTGTCTTGAAGGTGTTTAGCTCACAGATCAGTGGGAAACGCATGAAATCGCTGACTACGTCTACATGCGGCTAAAAGTGAGTGCCCCAGATGCGACTTTCTCACATGGAAAGTGCTGTGAAAAGCTATGAAATTATGATGGAATAAAATCGCGAGCTTCAGAATTTCGTCATCACCTTTGCCGAATCTGACGCTGAAGAGCCAAACGACAATGCAGGATCACCCTCGAAGAACCTGGAAAAAGTTTATAGTTGAAAAAAGGCCGACTAACGAAACGGCAGTATAACTGAGAATATGAAACGAAAGGTGGAAATGTAAACAAATGTTACTTGTGAGCACGCTGCTGGTCCATGAACCGGTCATAGAAGAGCGCACCAACTGATGTCGTCACGGTGGACTCTCCTCGGACAGTGGCTGAGACCTGAACTATAAGTCATTCATAACTAATTTTGGGAATCCGGTGTATACTTCAAAAACCAACAGTCGAAAAAAAAATCGCGATGTGGGATGAATAATCGCTCATATCGAGCACCCACGGCTGTGACACCGAAAGAAAAGCTGTTCTTCAATAATGCCGTATGGAAACTATTCAAATTGCGGCGCCATTTCGTGCGTTACCTTCACGTTCTAACTTAGCCCCCCCCTCACCACATAAATGCGCAGACACTTGGCACTTTGTTCCCACGCGTGAAACAATCAGGAAAATATATTGCTTACACGTCTGTGGAAGATGTGACGTGTAGCACCAACAGCAATGACTCCAAGTAGGAGACCGAACAAGGAGGTCCAGAACTAAAAATAAACCATTGTATAAAATTGTTACTGAAAACTAGCCACCTGTTCCCGAGTCCTGGCATACAAGGTATGCTAGTACTCTCATATCAGGTCCGGTAATAATAGTTATGCGCAACTGCAACAGTTGCCGTAGATCGTGCAGGCCGCAAATAACGGACAATATTGAACAGCGCTCAGACGCGCGTCGACGCGCTGTAACACTCCACAACTCCTTCAATGCTATGGACTTCAATGCAGCCGCAGACGGGAATCGATCTTCGTAGCCCCCTTTCGTATTGAGAGAGTATGGGGGAATAACGCTCAATCACGCGATCTGGCATCGATCGTCACTGGCCACTAGGTCGATGGCGGTCCTGCTGGTTGATTCTGCCTGCGGCTGCGTTCGCATCTATAGTTCTAGAGCGCTGTTGTAATTGTAGCGCGTCGACACGCGTCATCGCGAAGTATGAACGCTTGCTTTATAGGCGACATTGTTATGATCTTCCACAAGCACATCGAAATTTCTGGCGCATAGGCTCGCCTATGAGAGGACAGACGTACCAAGAGATGTTTCCACGTGAAAGGTCGATGCAAGGAACTCCTCGTCCGCGCTGTTCTGTTGCCAAGCCACGTAGCAACGACGGCAGCAAATAGTAAAGATCGCAAGAAGTTATCTTCGATGAAACGCAACTGAAATTCGCATTTCGTCTCCCCGTGAACGCTGGTTGTAACGACAGGCGCCTGATGTCTCCCAAAACTAAAAGCAGAAAACACTTACATGAATGAAAGTGGTTGAAAAGCTTCCCAGCCACATATACACAAGATCTCTGCATTCTCTGCCGCAATTCCCGATTATGTAGACACCTGGAGAAATGTGAATATTCAATCATGCACGCACTTGACTTATGCGGTGCACGTTACAGCAAATGCATAGGCGAAGCTACACTTTCTCCGCACTGTTCTGAATCAAAGACAAGCTGCACACTCCGTGGATCCCGATTCTTACCGTGAGGAGAGTGGTTCCGTGGCAGCAGTAGCATGCCACTTTTTCTGCTCAAAACAGGGCGGGATTGATGAGTAGTGGTACCCCGGTGCCGACTCCATACTCCGCCTTACGCTGCCGCATGGCCGCTACAGGCTCATCGAAGCCAAACGAGCTACAAGCTTTTCACTTCTGATTGTTTTCTATCTGTTTCGCTAGGATACCTTGGTATCTACGCAAACGCTGCACCTTGGAGATAGCGCAGGCGGTGTGGAGAGAATACTTGGGTACCACTACCAGCGCAGGCGGAGTGGAGACCACACTTGGGTACTGGGTTATACCCTACAGCCCAACCCCCCCCCCCTCTCCGCTCGCACCCATTTGAGCGGAGAAAGTGGTACGCTAGTGTAGCTGCGAACCCATTCTCGTCGTATATGGACGGTCCTAGGCTTGCGTGTCTTTGATGGTAAATGCGGAATGAAAAAACTAAGACCCGAAATGAAGAAACAAGACCTTACAACAAAAACAAACCAGCCGTCACTGCCGCTGCCAAAGCTGACACCATGAGATGGCTGTCACGCGTTGATTTACCGAACGTCACACTGCCGGCCGTCCAACAAAGGAAACCTCAAGTCATCACATTATCGTGCCCCAATGATTTCCGTTGGGAAGAGGACAGGTTCAACATTTTGACTGAAGTCAACCAACTTACCAAGCCACATGGCATAAGCAACAGATGCAGCAAATCTCTGAAGTGAAAAAGGCACTACGCGAGACAGGTTCGTCATCAGCTTTCCATTCCTGTGCAAGTAAAACTATTACCTAATTTCCTGCTCTGAATGGCTCGAATCTAATGTCACATTGAAGTCGTACTTGTATTTCTTCATCTCTTCTCCCTCGCCTAATTTCAGCATATTGTAGAACTGAACTTGTTTGCCTAAGGTGAAGCTATCGTACAAAACTCCTGAAAATGACTCTCGTACAAAACTCTTGAAAATAACACTACCCAGACGAGAAGCATGTCGACCCAAAAATCAAAAGGATACACGTTCGGAAAAACGAACCCAATAGAAATACTCCGCCGGTCGAGATGTAGATGAATGCTTCAGGTATTTGTTCAAGATAGAGACGATGAAGACCTAGGACGCCGCCAACCATGAGCAAAAGTCTGAAGATTTCAGATAATTTTAGCTCAATTTTGTATGTTGACTTCTAGAATTCGGAGGAATTCTGATACTCAGGTGAACACTTGCTTCACATTATGCGAAGAAAAACGTTCTTCCGAGAATTCTCTTGTGAATCTAAAAACGCTTGAGATACTTGAGAGAGAATTTTCTGGCAGTCAGTTGACCAGGGAAGGTCTACAGGTCGCCATGGCCATTCAAGATGAGATGCATATCGACTGTGCGCCTGGGAGGCTGAACTTAAATCTGCTTCCAATTATTTTTGCCCGAATGTTCTCTATAAGGAGTTAGGCGGGTGGTGGATTCTAGCATGCTTGCTCGCCGAACTTCCTTTGCCGTAGCTTCCAGCCTCGAGTACCAACACAGGCCAGTGGTGCCGACGCCGTAGAGTGGATAGGATAGTCGTTTGGACTCAATACGGGGAAGTTGATTCTAAAACCAGCTGCGGTTCGATTTCCTCCGCATTTTTGCATTTTTTCGGAACATCTTCTGCGAGTATGGAAAATACTTTTATCCATTATTTTGTAACGTTTGCTCATAATTGCAGCAGGAAAAGACTCAAGTGCCAGCAATTGTGCACCTCTTTCAAGACTTTTGGGCAGTGTTTACCCTTTACTGCCTAAATCACCCGAAATCAGGCCAGCTTTTGAACGACTTTGCATTGGCCAGATTGGCAAGAAGTTGTCTATGAGGGTAGTCTGACCTTCTGACCATGAATATCACATCCGTTCGGCACGGAACCTCCTAGCGCTTGCGCTACAGGCGCCACTGCCGAAATACCGCTTAAACACCCGCCGGGTAGTGAGAGGAACAGCAGGTTACTGTAGTCGCTTGTGACGTATGCGTCAGGCGATTTTTCGGATTTGAGCCAGATGGGATATATGGGTGCCCAGTGAGCGTGCAAACCACCCAGTTGAACAAGTTTGTCAGCCTATCCTTGGTGATTCTAGCCGATATTTCGGCAGTGGCGCCTGTAGCGCAAGCGCTAGGAGGTTCCGTGCCGAACGGATGTGATATTCATGGTCAGAAGGTCAGACTACCCTCATAGACAACTTTCTTGCCAATGCTGCCATGCAAAGTCGGTCAAAAACTGGCCTGATTTCGGGTGATTTAGGCAGTAAAGGGTAAACACTGCCCAAAAGTCTTGAAAGAGGTGCACAATTGCTGGCACTTGAGTCTTTTCCTGCTGCAATTATGAGTAAGCGTTGCAAAATAATGGATAAAAGTATTTTCTAAACTCGCAGATGTTCCGAAAAAATGCAAAAATGCGAAACTGCCAAGGAATCGAACCCATGACCTCCCATAATTGAAGCAACCTACCTATCCACTCCACCGTCCACCAACTGGCCTGTTTGTACTCGAACTTGAGCTACGCAAAGGAGGATCGGCGAGCACTATGCTAGAATCACCACCCCCTAACTCCTTATAGAGAATCGTTCGGCAAATTTTGGAAGCAGATTTGAGTTCAGCGTCCCAGGCGCACACGTCGATATGCATCTCATCTTGAATGGCCATGGCGACCTGTAGACCTTCCCTGATGAACTGGAAAAGCTCAGTCATCCGAAATCAGGCCAGCTCCTGACCGACTTTTTTCTCCGTGGGCAGATTTTGCTCAAATGTTGTCTCCTGGGGTAGTTTGACCTCCAGAATACGAATATCACATTCGCTCAGCCCAAAACTTCCTGGCGCCCGCCACAGGCGCCAATGATTTGGGGTATTTTGGCGCCGGTGCCCGTGGTGCGGGCGCCAGGAGGTTTCGGGTTGAGCGGATGTGATATTCGTGTTCAGGGGGTCAAACTACCCCTGGGAGCAAGTTTTCAGCGAATTTGGTGATTTCGAGTATTTTGGCGCCGGCGCCCGTGGCGCGGGCGCCAGGAGGTTTCGGGTCAAGCGGATGCGATATTCGTGTTCAGCGGGTCGAACTACCCCTGGAGCCAAGTTTTCAGCAAATTCTGCCCACGGAGAAAAAAGTCGGTCAGGAACTGGCCTGATTTCGGATGACTGGGGCAGTAAAGGGTAAATAGTGCCAAAAAAACTTGAGGAAAGCCCAATGTAGGGCGTTGACTCACGGCAACGCCCAGCACTCATTTTCACAGCGACTCCGCCTACTGACCACGTAACACCCAACTTCGATTTTAAATTGTGAGGTTGTTTTCTCACTAGCTCTCTTCTTTAAGAACGGTGACAGTGATGTGATGATAAAGGGATAAACCGGACACAAACAAAAGAGTACTCATCCGATCACGCCCCTTCCTAGTTCTCATGCATGCATCAGATCGAATTAGCATGGCGTTCTATGTAGGGCATTTTAGGCGGTTTTTAGGGCTCACTTGTTGACCAATGTTGCGTTAGTCACCATCTCGTCATTAATATTTGAGCCGTAAAATCACCATTCCGAACATGCCCCTAACCCCTTCAATCACAATGAAAAGGAGGAAGTTCTGGTTGTGGATTCTCAGAACCAGGAAGCAGGAACGAGTACTTCTAAAAACACGACTAGTACGAAGTTATAGGCTAAGAAAGCTCCGTATATTACGGACAAAAGGAAACGAAGCTCTCGTGCAACTAAGCCCAGAAATTCTCTAACATCATAAGAAAGACCGAAGCTTTTCGAAAAAGGAGATGTTGGTGATCATAGCTCGCAAATCGCCAGAATGTTGTTCAACACACTTTTTTCAAACAAGGCAGATCTTTCAGATCGTGGAACTCGATCGGAACGACTTGTTATATGTTTCAGAGGTTCATGTGGGTAATAAAAGAGTGCGGTCCACTTTCGCTACGCCTTCTGCGAGTACCAGGAAGAAGGAGAAGAAGCTTCCACGACTTCAGACATACGGTCAACGTTCATAAGAGGTCTTCTGTTTTGTAGACAAAAAGTTTGGGTGTTTCTGCGCGTTTTTGTCGAGGCAACTGGTTCCAACTTGTACGAACAAACCATCAGCCCACTGTTCACTTTTTGACTGTACCGCAAGCGCCCAGCGAAATGAGCTACTTTTTGTGGCTCCTCATAAATGTCTACAAAATGTAACAAGCCGTTATGAAAATGGTATCCACGTCCATAAAAACCTTCCTTGTAAGCATCTCTTACACTCACCTCGCCTTGAGGGCATTCGCCAGTCGCACGTCCGAGACGACATCGCCATCCTCGTCAGCCATGCTACCTGCCAGAAATGAACCTCCACAACACCCCCACACACCGTGCCCGTAATGCCACGATACGATCTCCTTTCGCTCTCTTCACCTTTGATGGAAAAACAAGATGCCATTAGAACGTCACTTAGAAATCCAGTTACGCAGAAGTTTCGACATAAACAGTAGATGCAAACAACCATTTCCGTAAAACGCTATGCAGTACCAAATAAACATTTATCATAGAGATTTCAACTAAGAAAGGCGGGATAGGCGGCAATCACACAACGAAACACGGCTAAATACAATCATACCCCAACAAAAAAGAACATAGTTGAAAACTATTCTTTGCTGCCATTGAAAAGCAGAAACAGTAGAGAAGAGGAAAAAAAACTTCAATGAAAAGAACACGTTTTAGAAGCGAAAATCAGGTTTTTTTTCCTTTTAAAAAATATAGTGCATTTAAAACCCACGAAGAGTTGCTGCGAGAGATTTCACCGATGAACCGTTTCTTATTAGCGTATCACAATCGCACGATGAAAACCCAAGTAAAACCTCCCATTATTGCACTACTCACAGTAAACAGGGTCTGGATACCAAAGAAATGACCCCACATAATCGCATTAAACATTGAAGGAGCTCAAGTGTACACCGAAAAAACAATGACTCGAGTCCTGCAGTTGAAATCAGCTTCTCGAGCTTATTTCAGTTTCTTTTCCTGGGAACAAATATGGAGACATACCCTAACACACAAGTGTTTCGAGAGCTACTTGATTAGGGTTGAGGTGCAACTCTGAAGCCTTCCCTAATACTGTTCATGGAGCGAATGCGAGGACATCAGTTGCCCCAAAACTCGAATAAACCAACGAAGTGATAACATTTCACTGGAAAATGTCGTGAAGGAATAAGTGCCTTACCATTAGACACCTTACTATAATACCGGTTATTCATTATCACACCGTCACCTTACTATAATACCGGTTATTCATTCTCACATTATCACCTTACTATAATACCGGTTATTCATTCTCACATTGTCACCTTACTATAATACCGGTTATTCATTCTCACATCGTCACCTTCCGCATCGTTGCCTTCAAAAGACAGCCAAGTAATTTCGCGAACTGCCATGAAACCAAAGGAATGTAGTTGTAGCGAGCTCAAGTCACTCAAACAAAGAGAGAAAAGACAACTATTGATAAAGGAACATGACAGTTAATCCCACTAGGCAGAAGCAAAGTAACACGCCGATAGTCTTGCCGATATAAGGTCTCCAAGAAGTCAGGGAGTATCCATGTACGGCAGGAAAACAGGCCATTATGATTGCAAAACATTCTTAGTCAGATCATCATGCACTTTTAGTACCACCTACCAACAGATACAGATACGGCGCGCAACCCTCTCTAAATAACATGAGTTTGAGAATAATCTATACAACGAAACGATAGATTTTATAAACAGGTACAGCTATCGTCTAGTCAATCTTCACGGCGGCATAAATACGTCGCAAGAATGCGTATGACGCGTAGAATCCGATTGTACCGGTCAGGAACCAGAAAGTAATCGCCATCAGGGCGGAATAACTGAAGTACAGTACGGTCGGCACAAATCCTTCGATGTCAAGCTTGGTGTTGTAGTAGAAGATTGAGTATGCCATAACTGAAAAGGCAGTTTTGAATTATGAGGAAATGGGAGATTTTCCAAGTAATCTTCGTTAATCATTAACGAAAATAACAGAAACAGAGCAAAGCATCGTCTATGCAAAAAAAACGTCGCTACTGATCACTCTCTAAAAAATCAAAAAATTTCTTGAATACTTTGCCTTGAGAAGTGGTTCAGTGCCCCTGATCACGAACGTGACATTGGTTTTTAGCGGCGGTACCACTGGACGTCAGCTCGGTGCCACCACTTTTTTCGTTAGATACGGTATGGTTTGATGCCCTCATCACAACTATGGAATTCTTTTGTCAACATCACCGCCATTTAGCGCTCTGCTAAGGCTAAGCCTCAAAGCAGGAGTAACTCCCTTCTCGCGAAGATCAGCCTTGGCAGAGCGTAGATGGTCTCTGAGTGACTGAGGTTACGTGATCAGAGTGTCAAAGCTCATTCACAATTTTCCATCGATTCCGGTGGAAATGGTGTTCGTAATCAGGGCACGGAACAACGCCTATAGGTACTTTCAGCAGGAAAAAAATTTTGAAGGAATTGTGGTAGTAATAGTCCTGTCGTGCCAGAAAATCCGGACTGTTTTCGGACACACGTAGGTTCAAATTACTTCCACCGACGTTGAATAGTAGTGAATAAATGAAACAAGTAGCAACTACTCACCGTAAACTGCAGAGCCTCCACTAACAATGAATGACTTCCACCACCAACGGTAGTTCTAAAAGCGACTTTGCCTGAGAACACAAGTGTGGTAGCAGACAATATTAAGCTCACCTCAGCACATAGCATGAAATATGTGGCAACAATAGAAATCTGTGCTGTGCTAATAACAAGAATCATACATACAATGAAGAGGAAACCAAACAAGTAATAGAACTGATTCTCCCAAATTGCCTGCAAATTAACGAGTAGAAGTTGTTCGAGAAAGAATAAATAGTTGTTTAAGTCTTGTTGAACTCTGCCACAACAAATCTTACTGACTGTGGAGGTCTCTCAGGTCGTGGAGGCCATTTTCAAGGTGATTTTTGCATGTTGTATGGGTATATGCTGGGACCACAGAAGTGTAGTCCATTTTCGCTGCGTGCTGCTGAAGTGCCAAAAATTGGCGAAAGAAAAATTGTAGGGTTCTCGACCAACTAGGCGATGGAGAGAAGAGAGCTCCTCTACCTTTCTAAACGAAACATTGGGGTTTTCGGGGCACTTCTCGTTCAGGTCGGAGACCTCAATTT